AGCACTATTGGTGGAGAAGAATGAAGAAAGATATTGTGGGATTTGTAGCTCGATGTCTCAATTGTCAGCAGGTGAAGTATGAGCATCAGAGACCGGGTGGATTGCTTCAGCGGATAGATATTCCAGAGTGGAAGTGGGAGAGGATCACTATGGACTTTGTAGTCGGACTTCCACGGACTTTGAAGAAGTTCGATGCTATTTGGGTGATTGTGGATCGGCTGACCAAGTCCGCACACTTCATTCCGGTGTGTACTACCTATTCTTCAAAGAGGTTGGAAGAGATCTATATCCGGGAGATTGTTCATTTGCATGGTGTCCCAGTTTCCATCATTTCAGATAGGGGCACTCAGTTCACTTTGCAATTTTGGAGGTCTGTGCAACGAGAGTTGGGTACTCAGGTTGAGTTGAGCACAACTTTTCACCCTCAGACGGACGGGTAGTCCAAGCGCACTATTCAGATATTGGAGGACATGTTGCGTGCTTGTGTCATTGATTTCGGAGGGTCATGGGATTAGTTTCTACCGCTTGCAGAGTTTGCTTACAACAATAGCTACAAGTCGAGTATTCAAATGGCTCCATATGAGGCTTTGTATAGGAGGTGGTGTAGATCTCTAGTTGGTTGGTTCGAGCCCGGAAAGGCTAGGCTATTGGGGACAGACTTGGTGCAGGATGCTTTAGAGGAGGTGAAGGTGATTCAGGAGAGGCTTCGTCCAGCGCAGTCGAGGCAAATGAGTTATGCTGACATGAAGGTTCGAGATGTGTCCTACATGGTTGGTGAGAAGGTTCTGTTGAAGGTTTCGCCCATGAAGGGTGTCATGAGATTTGAGAAAAAAAAGGAAATTGAGTCCTCGGTTCATTGGGCCTTTTGAGGTGTTTCAGAGGATTGAGGAAGTGACTTATGAGCTTGCTTTGCCACCCAACTTGTCGAGTGTGCATCTGGTATTTAGTGTTTCTATGCTCCGGAAGTATATAGGGGATCCGTCTCATGTTCTAGATTTCAGCATGGTTCAGTTGGATGATGATTTGACTTATGATGTGGAGCCAATGGCTATTTTGGGTGGTCACATTCGAAAGTTGAGGTCAAAGGATATAACTTCAGTGAAAGTGCAGTGGACAGGTTGGCCTGTGGAGGAGGCTACTTGGGAGACCGAGTGGGAGATGCGGAGCAGATCCTCACCTGTTTGAGGCTTTGGGTATGTTTCTTGACTCGTTCGAGGACGAGCATTTGTTTAAGTTGGGGAGGATGTGATGACCCGGTCAGTAGCTTTATGAGTTACCGCTCCATTTTCCCCATTTCTGCTTCTTTATGCTTTGTTTATCCGTGTTTTGTGGTATCGGGTTAGTCAGAGCGAATCCAGAATGATTTTGGTAAGGTTTGAGACACTTAGTCTCTTTTGAAGAAAACTTAAGTTGGAAAAGTCAACAGGATATTGATTTATATATTAAAGGGCTCGGATGTGAGTTCCGATGGTTTAGATAGCTTCGGGAGGTGATTTGGGACTTAGGAGCGTGATCAGAATGAGGCTTGGAGGTTCGGAGTAGATTTAGGCTTGAATTGGCGAAGTTGATATTTTGGCGATTTCGGTTGGTAGGCGGGATTTTGATATAAGGGTCAGAATGGAATTCCAAGAGTTGCAGTAGTTCCATTGAGTCATTAGGGATGTGTGTGCAAAATTTCAGGTCATTCAGACGTGGCTTGCTTTGGTTTTTGATCAAAAGTCGAATTCGGAAGATTTTGGAAATTTAGGCTTGAATCCGATGTGTTTTGGTTGATTTCATGTTGGTTGAGGTGTTTTGAAGATTGGTACAAGTTAGAATAAGGTTTTGGGATATGTTGGTGCATTTGGTTGAGGTCCCGGGGGTCTCGGGGTGATTTCGGATGGTTGACGGGGAGTTTGAGAAATTGTTGCAGCTGTAGATTTTGCTGCTTCTGGTATTTCCGCACCTGCGGATTGGGGACCGCAGGTGCGACGCCACATGTGCGGGCGATTGGTCGCAAAAGCGAAAAGGGGCTTGAAGAGCAGGGACCGCAGAAGCGGTTAGGAGGTCCGCATCTGCGTAGTCGCAGATGCGGGTATGGGACCGCAGATGCAGACAATGGGGAGTTAAGTGATTTTCGCAGAAGCGGATGAAGAAACGCAAATGCAGTACCGCAGAAGCGGTAAATAGGGCTGCAGATGCGGAAATGCCTGAGCAGAAGGTATAAATTGTGTCCTTCGCAACTTTGAGCTATTTTCACCATTTCTAATTCGGCTTGAGAGCTTTTTGGACGATTTGAAGAGGGATTTCAAGGGAACTTCATTGAGGTAAGGAATTTGGACCTAAAACTCGTCCCTATGCTATTATTTCACGGATTATAGCTATATTTAATGGAATTTAAGGGTTAAAATTTGGGAAGCTAGGGCTTGGGAACTTAAACCTTTGATTGATGATTTGAAGGATCATTTGAGGTCGGATTTCAGAACTTTTGATATGTATGAACTCATGGGGAGATAAGGAACCTATTGATGTAAAAATTATCGAATCCCGAGATGTGGGCCCGAGGGTCGAGTTTTGGTAATTTCGGGATTTGTGTCGCATATTGATTATTTTCGCTTGGGCTTCATTCCCTTAGCATATTTTGATGTCGTGATTCTGATTTTGGATAGATTCGACGCGAGTGGAGGCCGATTCGAGGGGCAAAGACGTCGCGAGCTAGAGATTTGACCGGTTTGAGGTGAGTAATGATTGTAAATGATGTTCTGAGGGTATGAAACCCCCGATTGCACATCGTTGTGCTATATTGAGGTGACACACACGCTAGATGACGAGCGTAGGGTCGTGCACTATTGGGGATTGTGACTTAGTCCATCCCGAGTGATTATTTTACCGCTTATTTGACTGAAAACTATTTGCTATCATCATGTTTTGGGCTGAACGCCATATTTGGGCCTCGTGCCAACTATTTGAACCCTTAGGGGATTTTTATTGATATTTTCTCACAGTTTTGACTTATTACTTGAACTTAGTCATGATATATTCTATTGTTTTCAAAACTCAACCATGTTTACTCTGCTTTAACGCTTAAAATGATATTTCAAATGATATCTTGGGATGAGCATCATATTTTACTGTTGCCCGAGTGACTTTTGAAATTCTGACTGAATAAGGCCGATGGCCTATGTTGTGAGGAACACCTGATGATTTTTATGAGGCCGAGGGCCTGAGATTTGTATGCCACGAGGTGACTTGTTGATATGAGGTCGAGAGCCTAGTGATGATGCCACGAGATGGCTTGATATTGTGCTTGGGCCGTAAGGGGCCCCTTCAGGAGTCTGCACACCCCCAGTGAGCGCGGGTACCCATGTGATGTGAGATGTAGCCCAAGGGATTGGTATTGTTCTTAGATATTGCCGAGGGGCGGATTTGTTGATACTGTGCCCGAGGGGCGAACCTTTATGTGTTTATCTTTCTGAATTACCTGTCATTATCTGTTTAATTGTTGAAAAGGTATTTCCCGAAGTTTAAACCTGAACCTAAATGATTATTTGTATTTCTACTGATCCACTGTTTTTAATGGTTTTACTGCTTCATTATAGTCTGCTTTATGCCTTACGTGATTTCCTGCTTTCAGTCTTTATTTGTGGTTATTACTCACTGAGTTGGAGTAGTCACTTTACTCCCTGCACCCTGTGTGCAGATTCAGGCGCATCTAGTCCCGTTCCCGAGTGCTGATCATTTCCAGCTCAGGCGGATCCGAGGAGTCTCTAGGTAGCTGTCGGCGTTCGCAGCCCGGAGCTCTTCCCTATCTTATTTCTTCATGTTCTTAGTTTCCGTATTAAACTGTGTAGTTTTCTCTGAGTATTCCGGATTGTTTAGATGCTCAAGACTAGTGACACTCCAGTATCGGGTTGTGTTTGGGTTGTATGCCGCATATTATACTGTCATCTGCTTAAATCTTGGATTATTTTATCATGCTTTAGACTGTTTCTTACTGTTTAGCTGTTAAATACCGAAATGGAAAATATCGATTGGCCTTGTCTTCACGGGAGGTGCCATCACGATCGGGTTTGGGTTTAGGGTCGTTTAAAAAGGAATTAGAAAAAGCAAAAGCTGTGAAAAAGAGAAAAAAAAATAAAAAATAGTCTACGTTTTATGATTGCAACATTCAGGATAATGTATTAGGAGTAATAAACTGATCTAAAATCAACCTTATTATTATACTCTGGTTTTCGTGTTTTTCCAATTCATTCGCACCATAGATCTGCTCCTTTTAACAATCCCATCTTAAGAGGCTCAGACAAACATTAGTGTATATTCATCTCGTACTTCTCACAGTCCTTTATATCTTTACACTGTGCCACTGACACATCGTTGTTCGGAAAAATACAAAGCGGGTATTTGACTAAGCTTATAAGCTGTCAAACTGGCCTATAAGCGCTTTTTGGCTTATTTACGCGTTTGGTAAAATTAAAGGTGCTTATAAATTAAGTGTTTATAAGCCAAAAATAAGTCAAAAGCCATAAGTTGTCTCACCAAATTTATCAAATTTCAGCTTATAAGCACTTTAAGTTTGACCAAAATATTTAATATTCTATCCCTAAAATACTTCTTTTTAAAACAAAACTCTTCGTATACCCAGTTCTTCAGGTGCATATAATTAATTTTACCACTTTTATCAAAACACATAACTACTTATTTTTTAAATCAGTTTCAGCACTTAAAAATACTTTTCGCTGTCTATTGATAATTGTTTATCAGCTACTCTACGTCAGCCAAAAGGTCAAAGTCTCCTGAAATTCATATAAAAAAAAAAGAATTTAAATCTCATGATCGGAATTTCAAACTGCAAATTAAAGAGAATAAAAAGATTAACGCTAAGAAACATTTAGAAGAATCGCAACTACAAGAAGCTTCTAGATGAAAAGTACAAATACTTGAACACACAAATAAGTAAAAGAACAAATTTACCTGACATCCAGAGAATATTTTGAGAAAAATACGAGAGATTGAGAGGAGAATACTGTGTCCCTTCCTATAGCTCCCGTGAAACTATTGAGTGCTTTGATCGGTTCCCCCCATAAGCCATAGGTCCAAATCCAATGGCCACCATATCCCCCAAGTTAGCCACCGGCATTCTCCACATCCCATCTCACCCCCACCCCCACCCCCACCACCGCAAACCACCTTCCCTCTTCCCTACAGCCACCAATAACTTCAGTTCATTCACAGCCAACAGTAGTAGTAGCAGCATTAGAAGTAGCAATGCTAAGGTGAACAGGCTAACATGCAAGGCTACAGAGGTTTCAGTGGCGGAGGGGTCGTCGGCGTCGGGCGGAGGGGATAATGGGAAGTTCAATTGGGTGCCAGTGGTTCCGCTGTCAGCACTGCCGAAAGGAGAGAGACGTGTAATTATACAAGATGGTGAAACTATACTGTTGCTTTGGTATAAAGATGATGTTTTTGCTATTGAGAATCGTTCCCCTGCTGAAGGTGCTTATAGTGAAGGCCTCCTTAATGCCAAGCTCACTCAGGTCACCTCTCATTTTCTTTCCTTTGTCTAATTTATTAATTTTA